ACTCCAGGGCTGACGCTATGCCTATGGCATTCTCTTATTAGAGCTTTTAACGGGAAACCTCCATCTCAGCATCCGTATCTCTACCCCCCTGATATGGCAGATTGGGTTAGAGCTATGAGGGAGGATGATAATGAGGAGGATAGATGGCTCTCAATGTAGTTGACCTTGCTAATATATGTAGCTTGACATCACCAGAACAGAGACCAACAATGAGGCAAATCTTGAAAATGATACAAGATATAAAGGATAATGCAATGGTGGAGAATAACAAAAGGGATGAACATACTGGATATTCATAGCTTCTTCTGAATTGCAGTTACACCATTAACCAGCAAGGTTGCATGGTCAATTGTAAGTGACACACCTGGAAACAATTCGGATAATGAAATCATATATCTGTGTTTCCTCCTTTGGCAAAGTGTCATTAATTGACAACAGATTTGCTATTGACTTTTGCCCAGATTGACCAAACTGTTAATGGTGCTTGTACCTTACTACTCAGTAAACAACCTAAAACTGATAGGTTAAGGTCGATCTGCTAGAACATAAGACAACTTAGTCATTGATGATTATGGCACACATTTCGTACCCTTCCTGAAATCCCTCTTATTTTTGTCACAAACGTATGGATGCCAATATTTTCAGGTAGAATTGTTTACAGCTGCTATGTCTATATATCAGTAGGCGGTTTTGGTTGGTTCTTTTTCCAAGGAACTTTATAGCCTGTTTGGCCAAGCTTCTAAAATGAGCTTATTTTGAGAAGTGCTTTTCTCAAAAGTACTTTTAAAAAAAGTGCTTTCGGTGGGAAGCAATTTGTATTTGGCTAATTAATTTGAAAAGCACTTTTGAGCAACAATTAGTATTTGGCCAGGCTTTTAAAAAGTGCTTCTGGGTGTACTTTTCACAAAAGTGCTTTTGGAAAGAAGCTAATTTTTTCCGCTTGTCAAAAAATGCTTCTACTATTACTCTAAAGCACTTTTTTTTTTCCTTCTAAAAGCTTGGCCAAACATTTAACTTTGGAAAAAAAAATACTTTTGGCCGAAAAGCTTGGCCAAAGCTATAAGTTTGAGGCTCCAAAATAATCACTTTCAAATTTCATGCAAATTAAAAGCTCATTTCCCTATTTATGTGTCTTTTACCAGACCTCTTTTACGATGATAGTATGTTGGGTTTTGGCTAAAAGAAAGATGATTGTATGCGATATTCTATGTCAAATGCCTTTGCGTATTGATAAGGTGATTTCATGTAATATTCTGCATCAAATGCCTTTGTGTATTGCTGCATTCCGTGCATTATGTGAACTTCCCATACTCTGTCATTAGACCTGTTTTAATAGTAGTTTCATTTGCTTGGTCCCTTGCTACTCCCTTTTGTTTAGCGTTGAAGTTTGAACTCTCATTGTGTCTGTATCTGACTTTCTATATGATAACTACCTTTCATTCAAGTTCCAAAGAGGTTCATACTTTTATACATCTCACTTTGCTGAAATTTAGAAACTTATTGTTTCAACAGTGAACAGAGGAATCCACTCAACTGGTGTAAGAAGAATGGGTGGACATGGCCATGATGAGCCATTCTATCTTCACGCGAAGCACATGTACAACTTAGACAGGATGTCTAATCAGAAGCTGAAGATGACCCTTGGTGTTTGGTCTGCAGTCGCCATTGGTGTTATAGTCCCAGTTTATGCTGTCGTCTTCCAGCAAAAGAAAACTGCTTCCGGCTAGATCATCTTCTTATTTGTGTCTGCCCCCACAATAATGCATCGGTTTCATCTCTTGCCCTTGTGAGGACTTAAACCTATTGTTTTAAAGCTTTGAATAGCTTCCATCTTAGCTTAGTTATACAATGGTATTTGCTTTTCCTTTTTTCAACAGCAACAATGGGCGTTATGCCTGGTTCTTAAATAATATTTTCTGAATACGCTCAAAACAACAACTCGATTGGAGTGTTTTGCTTACCATGTACTGGATTTTGTGCAGTTTGATATCTTTCTTTCCTAATGACTTGATCTCATATCTGGATTTTATAACACCGTCCATGTTTTAGTTTTATCTTTCAGCTCATAGCCTCATTTCAGATCTGATTTGCCTGTTCGCATGTAAAAGCAAAGAATGATTTTTCTTTCATTTAAAGCATGGCACTCCAACACAAAATGTTGATTGATTTTTATCCTTTAAAACATATTTCACATTGAATAAAATTGTTATTTTTGTACTATTTTCTTAATATTTAGGATTTTGAAATTAAATTAAAGTTTTGACTTTAAAATCCTTCCTTATAGAACTGTGTACCCGAGTAATATTTTTTTTAAAAAAAAAATCCTTTTCTTATTTGAATGGTGTAAAGTAATTATAACTCCTTCTCTATGAGTGCTTTTGAACTATGTATGTGAGGTTAGGATCCCATCCAGTATCGTTCAGTTCAGTTTTCTTTGGTGCTAACATAGTCATCACTTAAAGCTGTGATAATGGATGAAAGATCAATCCATTGTTCCCAAAAAAAAGAGAGAAAAAGAATTGTAAATTTCGAAGACTTAAGAATCATTATATATCATTATAAAAATTAAAATTACTCATTTCAGTCCATTAATCTATTATTCAGATTTCTTCGAAGTAAAGTTCGCGGGATCTAAGGATGTATTATTGATACTATTTAGTTTGGAACATATTTTTGGATTGCATTTATGAAATTTCTAAATTATGTAGAACTTTGACTACAACTAGAATGCAGTATGGAAAAATCCTTGGTGGGAGCGCTTCCCCCGAATGGGGCCCTACGCAGCACGAATTCGGATATAGTCGGGTTCCAGTACGAGTACCAGACATCGAACACCGGACACCGGGTGGAAAAAAAAAAAACAAGAATGCAGTAAATCCCCTTTCAAAGTTTTAAATTTTTATTTCAATTTTTCCAAATTATAAAAGTAGAACTTTGACTAATATCGTAAGACTTTGAATTGGACTACTCAAGTTTTCATATTAATAAATAAAGTTTTTGATAAAAAGATCTAATGTTATGTATTCGGACAGATGGTTAACATCTTAGCATAAAATAATCCTTACCTAGTATAAATATATGTTAGTTTAGGATATAAGAGCAGATTGATCTAAGCAAGAGTATTACAAAAAAGGATTGCCCTAACAAATAAGTTTTTTCACATATTTTTTTATCTAAAATTTGCGGAACCACCCAGTTTCAAACTTAGATTCTGAGTGGTTATATTAACAAACAAAATAAACTATACCAAGTGATAGGGGATATAAGACCTTACTCCCTATGCATTATTAAAGTTGGACATGCCCAACTCTTATGCATGAGGGATGGACATAAAGAAAGCTATGACCATGTCAGTTGGCCTTGATTGTTGAACTTTCACAAGCTTTTAAGTCGTTATGTGTGCTAATTGGTGTTGGATACACCGTTTGCATGCCGACTATCACTATGGATTAGAATGATATTATTCGGATATGAGAAAATGGTTGTAACATAGCTTGGAAGGTCATAAGGATGCTTAAGTGTACCAGCTCTCTTATCTCTCAGGCACGATTCACGAGGCAAACTCCAAAAGTCCCTTATGGGCTTTTGGATAAATCCAGCGTCAGTCAGTGTCAGTCAATGGAGGGTGGCGCATCTTTTAGTTCATCTTTCAGTTTTCACCTTTTTCCGGTCAATATCGAACTGCTCATTGATCATAGAATTTGTTTTCGATTAGGGGGAAACACATTTTGTATTCGAGCTTATAGCGAAGGTGCTGAGACCTGGTTCAAATAGGTGAAAAGTAGCAAGTATGTCATTCGAAAGCTGATGCTAAGTAGGAAGCTGTCTGTGGGTCTGCCAAATTCTTAAAGAATCATCAATGTACATGGGAGGGTTCTTTAAGACCTGGAGGAGTAGGGACCATATCTCAGACATTTATGGTTCCTTAAAACACAGCAAATTTGGTAGATTTACATGCATAATTTCGGTACAAGGTCACATGGGAGCTGTAATTATTCTATCAGAAGTCGTAATAAATAGAGGGTGGAATGAAAATTCAAGGTATATTGAGAGCTTCATTAATAGTATTTTGCCGACCAAAAGGGTCCTTACAGAAGACACATACAAAAACTAACCGAATATTGCAAAGGTGTTTGGTTGGCAGTTTCTCTAGCCAGGAAGATCCACCGACGAGAAATAATGTTCGAAGATGGGCTACCCAAACCTGGAAGATAGCTCATGGTGTTAACGTGTATGACATGAACGGAGTGCAATTATGTTTGAATTCCCCTCAAGGAAAACGGCTGAACAGATTCTGGTAGGTCAAAGGCAGAGGAAAAATTCTAAGCTCAGGCTGGAGTGGTGAAGTCCATCATCGGGGTACTTTCCCAATAATAAAATTTTTGAATGAACCTGGATCAGAGTTTGGGGCATCCTCTACAACTTTGAAACAAGAAAGTGATGAAGATAATTGGTGATAAGTGTGGGGGTTGGTTAGAAACGAAAGAGGATCCTAAAATTAAGAAATCATCTAAGATGGGCCCGTATTAAGGTCAAAGGACCACAAGTACTAATTCCGGCTAATGTTGAGATAGAGAACGAGGGTATGATCTTCTCAATCCTTATCTGGAGTGAAATTCCGGTCACTTTTCGACATTCGGAGGAAGTGGTTAGTTTATATGGGTTAGGGGAGGTTAGAAGGCACAAGAAAAGGAAGGTGATGGGAAGGAAATTGGTGAGGGAATAGTCAATGTTGCAATATCTAATAATCCAATAGGTAAAAAAGAAGGGGAGGGGGGATGATTCCCTAGGAGTTAATGATGGTTTGAAAGGGGTGTTTAAACTTACTGGGATAGATCGAGTAGATAGAAAAGAAATGGGGCAGGATTTTTCGATGGAGTTTGGGCCAGAGCTGAGTCCAGTTTAAAATTGGACTTAAAACAAGGAGGGTTTTTTGAGGGTGATATGGGTGTGAGTGTTCATATAAGTGACGCACGTGAGATGCACACAGGGGCACGAGAAGTTGTTCGGCCAACTGTGTATGGACCCAAAAGAGACATGTTGTGTGTAGGAGTAAAGGGCTTTCTTAATCCCAAACCTGTTAGTAGACTGTATTTGTAAAATAATTCTGGAAATATAAATGAGTATAAACAGAAACGAACATAAACAGAAATGACATAAAACCAATTCGAGCCCACTGAATTCACAGTGTTTTCTTAAGGAATTTAATCCCCTCCTAGTACCCAAGGTTATGGATTATTTCCTCCCAGGATAGAACGAATTACACACTGGTGTAGTGGTACTTCAAACCCCAGTGTTTCAGCGAACACAAAGTTCGGTAGCAAATCACACTTACTTTTTGCTTTGTTTGATGCTAAAAATATGCAGAAGAAGGAGAAGAAACTCAGAAAATCGTAGTGAAATTCTGAGCAGAATAGTGTTGTATTTATAGCCAAAGTTAGGCTGAAATCTGAAGAGGTGCAACTCTTCAGAATGGCTGTTTATGCAAAACGCCCACAGCATAAATGCCATTACATAAATGGCCATTTACTCAATAATAAAGAGGGAAAATAAAGAGGGAAAATTGAAGAGGAACAGAAAAACGGATTGGATTTAATATTAATATTTAATATTAATATTTTGTTATTAAAAAAAATATTTAATAATATTTCTGTTAATATTTTACTATTAACAAATAAATTTGGTCCAAAAAGTTAATCAATCAATCGATCATTTGACCAAATCCAAATCCAAATCCAAATCCGAATCCGAATCCGAATCCGAATCCGAATCCGAAGCCGAAGCCGAAGCCGTAGCCGTAGCCGAAGCCGAAGCCGAGCCGAGCGAGCGACGACGACGACGGCGCAAGGCTTGCCTTCTTCTCAATTCTTTAAGAGCTAGAAGAAGAGCAATTGCTTATATACCCCATAAAAAAACCCTCTTCCTCTTCCAATATGGGACAATGCCCATTTGCCGNCTGGAAACAATTCGGATAATGAAATCATATATCTGTGTTTCCTCCTTTGGCAAAGTGTCATTAATTGACAACAGATTTGCTATTGACTTTTGCCCAGATTGACCAAACTGTTAATGGTGCTTGTACCTTACTACTCAGTAAACAACCTAAAACTGATAGGTTAAGGTCGATCTGCTAGAACATAAGACAACTTAGTCATTGATGATTATGGCACACATTTCGTACCCTTCCTGAAATCCCTCTTATTTTTGTCACAAACGTATGGATGCCAATATTTTCAGGTAGAATTGTTTACAGCTGCTATGTCTATATATCAGTAGGCGGTTTTGGTTGGTTCTTTTTCCAAGGAACTTTATAGCCTGTTTGGCCAAGCTTCTAAAATGAGCTTATTTTGAGAAGTGCTTTTCTCAAAAGTACTTTTAAAAAAAGTGCTTTCGGTGGGAAGCAATTTGTATTTGGCTAATTAATTTGAAAAGCACTTTTGAACAGTAATTAGTGTTTGGCCAAGCTTTTGAAAACTGCTTCTAAGTGTATTTTTTTTTCAAAAGTGCTTCTTAGAAAAGTGCTTTCGGAGAGAAGTTACTTTTTTCTACTTCTCAAAAAACTGCTTCTGCTTCTCCTCAAAAACACTTCTTTTCCTTTCAAAAGCTTGGCCAAACACCTCAATTTTTGGCCAAAAGTGCTTTTGGCAAAAAAAAAAAAAACACTTTTGGACCAAAAAAAAGCTTGGCCAAACAGGCTATTAAAATGCACTTGCTTTACCTTAATGGCAGAAGGATGTTGTATGATCTTAGTACTTGGTCATATTTAACTTACTGAATTAGATATCAAAATTTAAATTGTTAAATGGACTTGAATTCTTGAATTTTGTGAATGTTGGTGATAGAATTTTACAAAATAATCTTGGGTGTTTTTGAACGGAACCAGAAGTGATCCTTGATACAGACGAACAAAGTCATAAGGTTCCAAAGGAGACAAAATGTACCAAAGTTTTGCAAAAATCTTCCCTTTAATAGTTGTTATTTGGCACTGTCAGACGAACAACAAAAGAAGAAAACAGAAATAGCAGAGCTGATTT